GACAGGCTTACGCGGTCCGCCCTCAAATAGCGCTTTTCACGTCTGGAAAAGCGGTTTATTGATATCTTTTTGAGCTGCAAAGTACAGTCTTAGACTCAGCTCATCCAGGAGAACAGAGAACGATGAATATCCCTAATTTGACATTCTGCCGAGCCGCTGCCTTTAAGGAAGGTATCCAAACGCAATGTCGGAGGCGGCAACGTGATGGTTTGGGGAGCTTTTGAAGCGTCCAGTACCCTTCCCCTGGCATTCGTATCGAACAGAATGACAAGCCTAGAGTATCAGCAAATGTTAGAATGCCATCTTGTGCAGATTGGCAACAGTATTATGTTTTTATGCAAGATAACGCATCTATTCACAAGAGCATGCGACTACAGTACCTCCGCGACAATAACATCCGGGTACTTGACTGGCCCCCATGTTTCCCCGGTCTCATTCCGATAGAAAATTTATGGGGCCTAAGCGTGCGCGATGTTTACTGCGATGGTAGGCAGTTTAACACCTTAAATGAGCTCAAAGAAGCAATTGTAAGCGCCTGGACCAACATACCCGCTCAAACCCTCACAAACTTAGCTAGCTGTGTTCGTAGGCGTCTGGTTAGGGTTATTGCACGCAAAGGTCAAGCGATAGACTATTAAAGATTTTTTAGTGATTAGTTTGTTGTTGTTTTTTTTCAGTGGCTGCAAGTTTTGTCCAACCTTTTTTTGACTTCATTCCACACTTTTCTTGTTTTGCGGAGGAATCAATGAAGATATGTTGTCATAATGTTTCTCACAGTAGAATCATCCATTATGACAAATTTAAACAGATTTCAATCATTCATAGCCGCGAAGTCGCGAAAAAGTTGAGTGGCTGCAAACTTTTGGCCAGCACTGTATAAGATTTTGATCAAGGTTATGAAACACGTTGTTATTCCATGAACGAGGGCAACTCGAAAATACCATTACCTTCCAGCTCAATTTTATTCCATGATTGGTAGCGTCACAGGCATCTCTGAACGATCGCAAAAAATTGATGAGGCGCATCAGTCTTTGCATCTTTTCAATCATCATTGCATTGCAGCGATGGAAAGGACGAAGCGCCGTGGACTAGATAAATCGATGTCCTGTCTCACAATACTAGAGGAGCCAGAAACAGTGTTGCAAAACATTAACGAACGACAAATTGAATTATGTGAAAATTTCACCTTGTCATAGGAAAAACTTGAGTCTACGAAGATTAATTCATGATTCCTACAGCTAGCCCTGCAGGCTAAGCTAATTGCCAATGTTAAATGAGTAGATTTCTGCTCAGGACTACCCTAGCGTTAAACTCATTCTTCAAAAAAAGTAAGCGGCAACCATTCCCACCTCCAGAAAACACGTGCTTTCTCCTTCCTTACTCAGGGATTCGCGCCACGCGAGCGGTCCTCCTATAAGGGCTAGCGTACAAGCGGTCGACATAAGCCTAAAGCTTCCGTGCGTGCGGCAAACAGCTGAAGCGCCGTCCTAGCGGCAGGCAATGTTACCGTGCAAACGGCCTGCAATACAAGTGCCCGAGCGAGCGGCCAACAATGCGTCCGTCTTATCGGTCGGCAATACCTGCCGTGCAAGCGGCCGACAGTGACCTCTGTCTTCTGCTCACTTTTCACACATTGTGAGCTCAAACGGTACCTGCGTGAGATACGACGCAGCGTTTAGGCTGGCTATGCGTTGACATATCTTGTTATCAACATTTTCCTTCCCCAGCAAGGCTGGAATGAACCTGTGTGAAGCCACAGTTATCAAGAGTGATGGTGTGGGCTTCACCATGGAAAGCTGGCCACTGCTGCAGGCATCGTTCGATGTTCTTAGAATGTAAAAAGGACTAACAAATCTAAGAAGAATTATCAGGATATCCCATATAGATCTACTCCAACAGCAAGCGAGCGGTCGACCTTCCCCGCGCAAGCGGCGAGCGTTAGGAACCTTGCGGGCGCCCCACGTTAACCGTACCGACGGCCCGACGATCGGACGGCCAGCGATGACCCTACAATCGCAACCGGCGAGCGATTGTAGGGTCATCGCTGGCCGCCCGCGCGCGAGTCCCTGAGTACGCGAATGGGAATTTGTAAAATTTTCGAAAATAGCTTGTATGAGTTATAAACTTGAGGAAATGACGAGCCCTTGGGCAAAAATTTTTTCAGTGGAACAAGTACTGCTGATAAGCACCCTTCTCGTGTATCACTGATCCTTCCGCACATGCTGGAGCATGTCGTTTAAAGACAGTAAGCTATAAAGGCGACGCCTAGGGTGCCTTCACAGCGCGCCGGCAGCTGCCCCTAGCAGCCCTTAACAGCTCGCGCAGCCGCCAGCAGCCCGTAACGCCGCTGCCGCTTTTGATATCATAGGAGCGCAGAATTACCTTTTTTACTACGTTGACTACACCTTTCACCTTCCACGCTTTTCCTCGCGTGCTTCGCTTCATTCACCTTTGAATAAGTTTTTGCTGCATGTTCTTTTAAGTGGTACATATCATTTATTCTCAGACCAAGAGACGCGGGACAACTTTGCCTATAGTGCGTAAGCAAATTTAACTTGTTTTTTCTTCGCTCCAAGGAATGAGTAATGCTTGATGGGAAGAGAGGACTGAGCGTAAACTTGTTAACCGCTTAACTTGTTGACCTGGCGGCAACAGGAAGGAATAATCTTGGAAGATGAAAAGCATGGGCGGGTCACTCGAAGTATTCAGAATCTGATGATTTTGCCCTTCTATGGTAACAAAAGCAGCCAGCGGCGGCTACGGGATGCTGGCAGCACCAGCAATAGATGCCGGCGCGGTACGAAGGCACACTTGTCGCTACTCGTTCTTCTTATCTTGCAAAGCGCGACAGATGCGTTAATTTTCAATTCAACACGCTGAACTCCAACATATAAGGTTGCGCGGTGTATGCAGCGCACACTTTATATCTTAATGCACGTAAGCGTGTGCTGCGTGCATCGCGTACCGCATACGCTGCGCAGTCTAGCTCAATCCGTAGCAGCTCGAATTTGACGCTCGAACGTTAACCTTAGTGCGCAGAAAAAATCAACATCTTGCAAAAGATCAATACATACACTCAATATTTATTCTGTGATTGGGAAACTCAAGACCGCTTTTGCATCGTCTAAACAAAGTTAAACTTGTTCTTTCATGTCTGCAATTCGCAAATCATTCCTGATAGAATAGATTACAAGTATGACTTTGCTAAATACACGACATGCTAACAAGGGAAGGATGGTCAGTCGAAGTGGCCTTTTGCGATGATTCGTATACGATGTTAAAGGGCGTAAGATGCTGATTTCAAATCTGTCCTCCTTATCTGCGGTGCATTACTGGACGAGGAGTTACGAGCGTTTAGAGGAGCAAAAAAATGAATATTTTTCTGGGAGAAAAACAGTTGCCAAAAGCTTCCCAGCGCTCGAATGAGACAGCCGAAGTGCGGATATATCTCATCTAAGAGTATTTAATTTATAGAGTGTTGGAAAGTTTACCACTGGCCCATTTGAAAGCTAGGAAAAATGTTACTACTGTTTTTATTGGGTTGTTCCAAAAGTTCTACCCGTTTTCGTTACCTTTTTTATGAACTGCCGATTTTGGAGAAAGAAACCACTTTTCAAAAACAATGTTTATAACATTCAAAAGCTCTTTTCTTCTAGTTTTTTAGGCATAGTTTCGTTTTCATAGATCTTTGTTCGCTGTGTGGTTGCGTATTTTGAAAAGACAGCGGAACAAATGTGAAAATTTTCGTCTTTGCTCTATCGCCGCGAAATCTACAGCCAAAAGAAAAAATTTCTTTTAAAACATACATAATGTTTGCTGGAGACTTGTGCTACAAAAAGCTCATCGAGATATGATTTCAGAAAAATTCTGAAATCATATCTCGAATTCTGAACCCACAAATTTTAGGCTCAAACATAACTCGTCTTTATGGTCCTTTCAAGTCGTATAAAAATGATAAACATATTGCAATCGCGGAACGTTTACTCTATATAGTAAGATTAGAGCTAGAACAACTGCCACTAGAAAAACGAAAATGTTTCCTGGTTTTCCAACGGCGAACAAAATCAAAAATGTCAAAAAGTTGCATTTTTTGTCGCCTCAGAAAGTGCAAAATAAATGGGTCCTTTCGAATTTTTCAGCACAAAATTTTTATGAAAAAGTTTGATGAAATCCAAAGTTAGCGGTACTGCTTAGTCGACTATGGGCTACATGTGAGCAGTGCTTATGCTACTTAGCTATATTCCATATCAAGTTATGCTTTTGCAAAGTGAAGGTTTCTATAACGAGATGCTCCTCGATTTTCGCCGACAAAATCTTCTCCACTGTTACTGCAATAATCTTTGAGAGTGCGCAGAAAAGCCAAAGATTTGCAGATTGTGATACAGTTTATAGCAATTACAATTACAAAGATTATTTCTGAGAAGAGTTACGGTGAATCAAATTCAAAGTTCGAAGACGGGTAGAACTTTTGAAACGACCCAATATAATATTCGCACAATCAATTTTTTCTCCACAAAACGCTCATAACTTCTCGCGCAGGAACGCGCCGCAGATAATGAAAACAGATTTGGAATCAGTGTTTTATGCCCTCCAACATGCTATACAAATCATCGAAAAGGCCACTTCGACCAACCATCCTTCCGAGTAAGTTTACGATCAAACTTGCTCAGACAGGGTGTCCAGTGGTCTCGGTCTTCTTCTAATTGAAGTTCATATGTGCAAGCGCCTTTTACGTGTCGAAACACGAAATTCAAGCTTCGAATTGTATACCACAGTACCTATGTTTTCAACGCATATCGACCCACCAAGTTTGATGTGTAGCGTCTTGCGATAATAAAAGGGGCAGAAAGAATGGTAAAAGTAAGGGAACTAAGAGGAACTGTTTTCGATTTAGTTGCTCCCGCGCAACCTGAAAAGCACTCTGAAATTCCGCGTGGTCAACATGGAATGTTTGAAAGATTTATATAAATCGCACAAAAATCATGAAAGACGGTTTACAGGAACACGTCTCCATCTGCAAACAAAATGGTAGAATTTTTGGAGAGCTGGAATTGTAGTGAAAGTTCTTCAAATTTGTGCATGTTAGCGTTGGCAAAAAAATTCAGGTGAAGAGGAGAGTTTTGAAAATTGTTAGAAATGTGCATAATTCAGAGATATGCAGCTCTGGAAAGAGGTAGACGTTGAGGCCCTCAAACTTTGGTTGGCAGAACTCCGCAAGCTTGCGTATGTTGCCATTCTTGAATTCTTAAAAAACAGAAAGCATGATACAACTTCATTTTTTTCTTTTCAGGTATAAGTTCCCACCACTAACAAAAAGAAATGAATGTTCTTTTAACTTTGATGAAAACGTTAGAGAGCAAAATTGCCGACCTTCATATATCGACTTTTCTACTTCAAACACTAAGTTTGTTCCGATGAGGGTGAGAAGTATTTGTACTTTTCTGGTTGCACTAAACAACTTTTGCAGAATTTGCAGTTGGCAACACAAAGGATCAAGATATTTGAGTCGTTAAAAAGTTGGTGTAAAGAAGCAGACTACTGTTAGTCTTAATTTGGGTGTATGCCAAGATGAACGATAGCTGGAAATAAGCATACTGTACTCTTGCGGTTGTCAATATGCCAGACATAAAGTCTTATTTTTTTGAAGAGATATGATCTACACTGAATCGAAAATGGTGTCAAACAGTAAGATATAGGGATACAGAGCTCCCAGCGTTTTTCCAAACTTTGAAATATCATCACAGCGTAAAAATGGAACTTGAAAAAGATTTGACCTACGCAGCGCATATGGCTGGCACAACCTATCGTTCATGTTGGCTGCCTCCCTTTAATTTTGGTACCTCATCACTTCTTTTATCTTTTCAGTACCAAGCGTTCAATTATCGCCTTCGCCATCCGTTATAGCGCTTAGCCATAGCAACAACGCTGCTCTACTGACCATCTCCAATACAGTAAGTTAAGACAAAAAATCGTTCTTTCCCAGCATGTCAACTTACCACAAATTCTTACCGGATGAAGCAAAATGTAGTCAAACTGCTCGCTTTACGACGTACAAATAATTTCCTCACCAGAATCCATAATTTTGGTTGATAAAAAGACTCTGTACCCTATGCGGTTAAGACTTTTTTGTTCCACGCATTCCGCCTTTATCTATACCCTTCGTGGATAGAAATTCTGGCCTTCTCACGATATCGCATAGGCCAAACTCAATTGAAAAAGGCACTGACTGCCATGCATCAAAAAAATCAGCAACTTTTACTTGTTTAACCCTTCGGGACCTGTCGGTGGCAATTGCCACCACCAAGTTTGAAGGACTGTAGCATCGCCGCGACAGCATGTTTCTAGCATTCTTAGTTACAGCAGCTTGGGATAACCTATTGCTTTCTATTTGCGCGTCCACTCGCATTTTTGTTCATTCTGCGTTTAGTATCAGAAGCAATTGCGTGCGAAGCAACACTGGATCGCGCTCGATTGGAATCTGATAGGTTAGTGCCAATTTTTTTGTCAAAACATTGTGTTTTTATTCATATTTCCACTGTAACCGTTGAGTATGAAGTTGTTCAAAAAATTATTGGCAGTTGTTTGTGAGTCCACATGTGTTGACTCTTTGCCATCACCTTCAGAATTGCTGTACATATGCCACCAGTGGGCTTTAGTGGAACTTCAATAGAAAGGTTTTTATTCAGCAGACGGACCGCCAACGAGCTTCGACAAGAATCTAGCTGGCATATCTCAACAAATCATTTTGAGAGAAGCTACGGCCGCATCATTGGCTAAGATGATGTTGACGAGGAGTTTGAAGACACTGGAGAAAGCGACGAAAAAGAGCACGAAGATGAGAAAAGGAAAGTCCTCTAAAGGGTATCGAGAATGAACCAAAACAAAAGAGACCGGTGCCCAATTCTTCGAATGTCATAAATGCACCTACTACCGTTCCAGAAAACGCGTAAAGCCCAGATTGAGACCTATGTGAAGTTAGATGTGACAGCGTCGGAGACTGACTGATACATGAAGATGGTAACGAACAACGATGTAAACTAGGATCTTGTAAAGGACGTTCTCAAATTCAGCGTGAGAAATGAGCTTCATCTTTGTGACGAAACATCGAAATTGCTTCAGAACCTTCCATTGTAGTTAAAAAGGTGTAATGAAAGCTGTTCCACTAAAGCCTATTGGTGGCAAATGCCACCACTTTGTAATTTCTTACTGTATGGTCGAAAACTTCCCAAACTTAACTGAACTATTATTTATGTGCCTATAAGTAAAAGTCAATAAGAAAGAAAATTTCTTTCCTACGGGGAAAAAGTCAGGTCCGAAAGGGTTAATTTGTTTCATCAAAATATATGAAAACGAAAAAATAAAAAAAATGAAACAATAAATTTCAACAAAAGATGACTAGCCTGACTAGTCGTCTTTTGTTACGATTAGCCTAGTGTCTATGCACTTCATCTTGTTCTATCGTTGGATTAATAAAAACTGCTCGAAATGTCCGCCTCTGGGCCCGTAGTAATCCACCCTACCTGCCAGCATCTCATGCCCTGAGGTCGCCCTGATGTGGACTTGAAATCCCTAAAATCTCAAACTGCCTCCGGGGACCCCCAAGCCAAGCTGATCATCTATTTTTTGTGTTACGGTCCAGTTTTGCTGTTGAAATAGTATGAGAGTTGAAAAGAAATCAAAAAAATGTCCCCGTTTGCCATTTATTTGGGCCGATTTGTGAACCTGCCGGCAGGTTCACGATCTATTTTTGTCAAAATTTGAGATGCCATCTAGCTCGCAGCCTGCCTGCAGGTCAGATAGTGCAGGAAATAGTGTGTAGTTTGTGGAGTGCGACCTGCCGGCATGTGGACGTGCCCCTACCACCTTTGCCGACGGTGTCTGTGAAATTACGTCGCGCGGCAATATCACAGGATTTACGTCAAGCCGAAGGATCAGAAAAATTCATTTTCTATCAAAAAACCATGATTTTTATCATTTGGGTTTTTCGTTCACGTTCTTGATATATCTATAGAAATAATAAATATTCATATCATATAACCAAAAAGAGCGCCATCTTCTTCTTGCAAACCCTTTAAATCTTGTTTGCAATGCTTTCGCGTGCCTCTTGCTCTTATCAATCAGCTGTTCTTTCAGGTCAACGTCTATCACGCAATGTATTGATCCTGCGCTCTCACAGGCACGACTTTTCTGTGTTTTTGTCATTGCTGCCGCACGTAGAAAACTGACCGCGTGCCTGAATGGTTAGTGCTGCGGCGCTCAAAGTTGACGCATGCAAGTTCGAACGCGCTTGACGTAAGTGTTTTGCGGCTGCTTGCGTCATCAAAATTTCATGTGCATATAACTGCGGAGTACGGGTATATGAAATTATCAAAACGTACGAACGATCAAGGCGAATAAGATGTCAAGCTCGAGAAGTATAAAGAAAAGAGAAAAACTAATTGAAAAACGAGAATTTAAAGCAAGTTGCCGCGAGGTTCGCGAACTTGCCGGCATCTTTGATGCCACCGGTAGGGTAGATTACTGCGGGCCCTGGTTCTCGCGTGGGTGCAAAGGCCAATCATAGAGTTGGATTTATTGCTATTTATCTCGTTTAACGCATTCAGAGCAATACGACCCACCGGCAGTTCGTACGTGTTCTGTCATTTCGGGCGATACGACTCACTGGTGGGTTGTAAAATTCCTGAAGCTCTAGCTTTATCAGTTTACGATGGAATTCTACGAGGTTCTGGCACATAATTGTAAACCAAGCGAAGCTTCAGCCAGAGGGGTCCTGGCTCGGGATACTAACACCGTTCGATCATTCTATGCTTTCCTAGTGGACAGCAAAAAGAGGCAAAGCATGATTAGTCCACTGGGAAGGCATGGAATGATCGAACATAACGGTGTTGATTACGATAGGTGCAAAATCTCGGCCCACAAACACAAAATTTCCCCACGAAAAGCTTCGAAAGGCTCCTACATACTTGCCCGCGAGCTCAAACTAGACAGCAAGAATGAGAAATTTCTATAACTAGTGACTTGATGCCGTATCTGTCGTACTGTAAACTACAGGATTGTGTGCCCTACTTGAGCGGCTCCACAGTAGCTTGGGTGCTCATTTGACACCGCATTTGACCAAGCACATCCGAAGCGGCTGTTAGCTACAAAATCGGTGATATACTTGGTGGGTGAACCACCGCCCACAAACTCCCTGCTTCCACTCAAGACGAATCGAGTGGCAAGTCGGTGGAGATATTTGGCGGCGTATCAATGTAACTGACGCCTTTTCAGCCTCTGAAGACGGCATCTTGCCGAAACGTCGGGCAATAAAGTATATCATAAAAAACAACCTGTACGGCATAACATAACAATTGAAATTATCAATTTTATTTTTGTTGTTTTTTTTTTTGCATTGTATCCCAGGACGCTCAAATCTTACATATACAGACTTTGTAGCATGCTGTTTACGAAAATGTTAGCCTCATTTCTAACCGCCTTCTTACATCAGTTTCTCGATTTTTACGAAAATTCTACTATACTGCTACCGTAGTCCCACTTTGGCATAAACAAAGTGGACACTGTAATCGTGATAAGCACGTGAAATAACCCCAAAACACAAGTTTCCATGAAAATCATGATTTTGGGTACAAGATGACTACCGTAACTTTACCGTATATTGCCAAAAACTAAAACAAATTAGATTTTGATAATTAACGCCTTCGATAACCCCTCTAAGGAAATTCTCGAAGATATGTTTTGGATTGCTAAAAAGACTACAATTTTGAACATTACGACCCACGAGTGGGTCGTAAGTTTGACAAGGCGTAAAAGGCTCTGGTCGGGAACGGCAATGATCGAGAAATCATTTCTGTCGTGAATGTGTTAAGCAACCCCAAACAGCAATGTCAAGTACACTGAGATCGGAACTATTGGGGGTCGCTGATTTTTAACCACTGAGGTGGTGGTTTTCGCTGTGTGCTTAGGAGCAGACCTGCTAGAACATTCCTTGTGTTTTTTTGCTCACAACTTTTGCGAGCACCTTTTCCCAATGAGTCTTCGCTTTGATCTTCCTATTCCGGTATACTGTAAAAATTGGAGGCGTCTTCTCACTGAATATTTCCGCCAAATCATCGCTTTCTTCGCAAGCGTTAGTGTAACAATTTTTCGCTTTCTGGTTTCTTCGGGCTTGGGCTGAGCAGGTGCCGTGCATTTTTTGTGGGCTGTGACAATAGTGAAAAATTTTCATCAGAAAACATCACGTCTTCTTTAAAGGTGTGTAACATGTTCTTGCAGTTTCTTAGCCTCTTCAGCTTGGCGTCATCTGATAATCTTGGAATAAACGATAACCGCAAAAACTCGAAATTTCTGGTAATAAATACTCTGAAAAATTTGACGAGAAATAGAGAGGCTTTTTGCATTACAATTCAAAATAACTTCTCGCTCGCTCAATTCGTTTCCCGTCGATTGCTCGCATTCTAAGAATGATAACAGAGCAAGGATGGTGTAATGGTTTCTGGCGTAATGGTTTCGACATGTCCTGACTTCCCTGTTTGATGTTTGATTTCCTTTGCTCCGCAACTCTCGGACTCTTAAGCAACCAAAATGACCGATCTGTCCATCGGCTGCCAGACGACTGATACTGTGATCGCAGGGTCTGATGAGCACACAAAAGCAAATGAATCTTGCATCATAAGAAAGCTGAAAAATGCTACTACCCCGACCAGGTAAAAACAGACAAAATTTGCTTCATTCGACACCAGAAAATTGACGCCACAAAACGCAGCAATACTTTTAGCCATCCCGTACTCCACTTGTATAATGCTAAAAGTTAAAGGCCATTTCAGGACTGTGGTTTGATCCATTCTTTCGATGAACTTTCAATAGGCAAAAAAATTATGGCGAGCATTAGTCAGGAATGCAAGCGTCACAACAGCCTCGCCTATGCTCTTGTTGTTGAAAGTATGATCCGTATAGATATGATTTCAGTAGTTAATTGTGTTATTGTATTAAAAAGGGTGAGATATTTTTTACAAGCTTTTCTCCAAGGAACAATTACTAAATGACTTGTGAGCAACATGATCGCAATGCTACATCAAAAGATAAAATTGAAAAGAATGCAACTGCATACGCGTTAAGGGCCAGGCATAAAGAGCAGCGTACCCATCGCGTCGCAAATCTACGAAAAGACAAGTGTTACAAGTTGAATGCATGCACTTCTATCATGTACCTCGTCCGTGCTAGTTGTCCGGCGCGACGCATCGCTGAGTTTTTTGCTAGCCCGAACAGGATCAACGGAATCGTCGCAATTTTTGCTTATCTCAGCGACTTCGCGTCGCTCGTTTGAAGTGAGCAACGCGATGGTATTGCCAGGATTGCGATTTGTTGCCGAAAGGCTGTATTGCCGTTCTTCACTTTCTCAAGCTGATCTTCTGTCAGGAGATTGAAAACTAGTCCAGTGTTCTCAGAGTGCAATGATTTGCGTGAAATGTTATAGTACCTATCCAGACTTTGTCCTTCTTGTTTTTTAATGATGGCCGACTAAACGATGAATTCGATTTGATATAATGATTCGAACATTACCATACCGAAATCGCTGACAACATACAACTTCACCCATTAGCGAAGAAGGTGAATTCAATCAAAGAATGCGTATAATTCTGAACATCATTGATAGGTTAAGTATTGAAGTTGATAAGTAAAAGCTTAGGTTTTATTAGTTTGTGTCCTCTGTTTTAAAGTGCGGGGAAAAACACCCGATAGGCAAATTTAGAATTCGTAGCGCGCTGGATTGTGAGAATACACAAACCGCTGCAATATGCCCATGTTTGAGCGATTGGCGATCCCGTCGCGCGTTTTCGTCGCTAGTTCCTAGCTGATCTACGATTATATCGCTTGGGTATGCCCGACGCTTTGAATAATCTTGTCTTGACGCGTGGCAAAAGACTTGCAGAAACTCTTCTCTACTAGAGTCTAAAAGTAATGGGGCAGCACGATTTTGTTCACAATTTTAAAGGTTTTCGTCTTATCAACAATAAACAACCAACAATGCAAAAGTTTTCGTATAAATGACCCTCGTATGTCATCCTGACAGCGCCCGCCTTGCAGCTGCTCCCCCACACAATTCTTCGAGCGGCTGTAAGTGAAGTCAGAAACTTTCGAACGTCATCCACTTACTGCTGCTGTATTCCAAAGTTCCCGGACAAGTGAAATGGCTTTCAAAAGACTTTGTAAGCTTTCCTTATATTAACTGGACCAAAATTCTTCATCGATTTGCATAAAAGAGGCCGGCTATTATCTCTCAATACTTGTTGCTGTATTTTTGTTGCAAATCGTTCGGATCACCACTATCAAGGATTTGATGACAACTTCCTCACCCATTGCGGCATAGATGTTTTTGTTAGCCTTGCTTATTTTACTGCGGTGGCACTGCCCAAAATTCAAAGGTACTTGCAGTGACAAGCTTTGAGTTTGAGTAGTATGAAGATAACGCCATGCGATACTGCCATCTATAGACCCCGATCAGGTTTTGTTATGTACACATCTGCCCTAATGACGCATATTTTTCTGTGTCCGTGGAACATGTGCTAAGATTTATCTTGATCAAATGACTTTCAGGTGTTAGTGATAATCAACAACTATCAACGTAGATCTGGGGTGGGGCTCCTCCAGAGGTTGTATCAGCCTTATTTTGCACTAACACTCTTCTGCGGCACGTGGCACTCAGACGAATACCATGATGATGGTTAGTTTTCCAAGTCTTCCTTTTTTGTTTCACAATAAACACAAATACATCGGCTAGCTTTATGCACCAGTCAATGAGATCGTTAATCAAAAGATTAAAAAAACTTCATCGTGAATATCGATAAGGACATAGAAATAAGGAGAACAACTTCTAATGAAGTGAGGTGTTTCATTCTGGTTTAATTTCCCTCTAAGGAGAGTTTCAAATCAGCTTCAAATTCTAGGTTTTTATAAAACTAAAATTTTGCGTCAGATACATCCTTCAACTCATATCAAGCATAGAAGCTTTGAAGGAGGACTCCAGTTTATGCTTTCACCGTCAGTCAATAGATAAGAATGCAAAAGGAGGGTAGATTGTGGGCGGTAAAGTCAATTACTGAATCAATACAGACAATCCATTGATTCATCCTCACGAAACAGAAGTCACCGTGGTCGTAGGTGGTCGCTGGTTGGAGATATTATGGCATTTTGCTAGAAAAGAAACGAAGGAAAGGGAGAGACATTAGAATTTGTAGAAATTCTCCAATGCGAAAAGAAGCTTTGAAGTCTTCTTCAAAAATCTTTGTCGATGGTCGGGCTGGGAGTACTGAACCAAAAGTCGAGCTTTTCATTCCGACAAACTCACTCCAGACACTTTCATTTCATTCCAAAATTATTACCATTCAGCGGGTCTACGTGGAGGGATAATACTGAAGTTTATATCTGAGTAACAGTGGCGTACCCAGAATTTCCATTCGGGAGAGGGGGGGGGGAGCGCGACAGAAACAACCCGACCTTTTTTCTGATGAAGGTGCGTGGCGTTCGCCAGCATCTCGAAAAAAATTTTGGCACGCATACCAAGCGGGCACTGACCCCGAAGTGTCAGAAAGCAACTTTCAATCCTTCCCCCTCATCTCGGTACGCCACTGCCGAATAATGTTCCAGGCGCAGACTGGCAAGGTCTGTTAGGATGCATTTGCCTTGTTTCTAATACTGGAATGATAAGAAACCTGACTAAATAAACCACTTATGGTTCGAAATTAAAAAGCATTCAAGATGCTACACAGAAACTTCCTGCATTTATGGTATCAAGGACAGTTAGGAATTGTGTAAGCCACATAAATCGCTATGTTTCGACACCAGTGTTAAACCTCGGGCATAGTTTGTGCGAATTTAAGGATTTGCGATGCTCCCGCCAAGATAATATTAGCCCACTAGCTGGCTTACCCGGCTCCGCCCGGCCTGTCAAAACACTATGTCAAAGAACACTATCCCTATTCCTGTAAGAACCTTTCCCTGTGCCCACGCCTACATGCCAAATCACTATCCCCGCTGTTTTAGTAATCAGCATGCTCGATTACCCCCCTGTGCCAACTCCCAGCCCCGTAGCTCAAACTTTGCAAAAAATCGATAAAATCGATAAAAGTAGTGGACGATCTTAAAAACTAATATTGTATTCGGATTTCCCATGCTCGATTATCCGCAAACTCCCAGCCCGTAGCTCAAACTTTACAAAAAAATCGATAAAATCGGTAGAAGTAATTGATAATCCTGAAAACTAATGTTGTATTCGGAATTCCCATGCTCGATTACTCCCCTGTGCAAACTCCCAGCCCCGCATGTCAAAATTTACAAAAAAAAATCGATAAAATCGGTAGAAGTAATTGATAATTCTGAAAACTAATATTGTATATGGAATCCCCATGCTCACTTACCCCCCTGTGCCAACTCCCAGCCCCGTATGTGAACTCTGCAAAAAATCGATAAAAATCGATAAAATCGATATCGATCGATGACGAAAAGTAGCCTAAGACACCCGCCGGGGCCCGAAGTGTATGTGTGCCAAGTTTGGTCCGGATCGGTTCAGAAATGGAATTTTCTATTCGGAACATACGTACAGACAGACAGACAGACATACATACAGACATACAAACAGACATTCAGCTTTATATAAGAAGGATTGGATGTCGACTACCCTGTTTTTGTGATAGTTAGTCACGATTCATGCCGGACTATCACAGCCGGAATGCAAGAGAATTGATATGCAATGGGCTCTAACAGGTCTCTTGTTGGGATCGCGAGGCGGAAATCGCGTGAAATACTTCCGGGGCTTTAGGTTTGCAACGTCGAAATTACGTTCAAAAAATGAAAAGTTTTTTGACACGTGGTAGGCAGATTCGGAAGAATGAAATGATTTTCATTTCAAAGTAAAAAGGCTTATCGAAACTAACTTTTTGAAAAATGGGCGCGGAGTCCGAATGACGATGAAGTACTGTTTCTTCCATTGCTAAAGCATACATGGCACACCCAGAACTGGGACGACAGCAGAAGAGCAGCATGCCAATTTATCGACTTTTTATAGCACAGCAATGTGTCACTGTCGACCTTGTTATGCCCTTTATATGGTCATAGAAGGTTATGAATATTGATATCATCTGCAAATATTTGTAAGACGCGCGATGTTCTTGAGACGTCTGAGAGTTCGGCAAACGAAAATTCGATGCAAAAAAGTCAGACCTCGACACGTCGTAAACTGTGTTTTCTCAAGCAACTGGTTTTTCATCTGGTTTGTGCCTCTGCTGCTAAGATGCAATTCGGCATGCACGGTCTCACAAAATTGTGTCTTGATATTATCTAGAGTACCTGTAATGACCCCGTCTAACTCCACATGGCTCGGACCGAAATTCGCAGTACCAGAATTTTTGAGACTCCGAAGAAGTAACGCAAACAAGATGTCCCTCTATAGAAAACTGCTCCACCGGGTCAAACACTTCAAAGGCAGCGTCCCGGCAAAATGAGGGGTACCGGGCCTTTGTAGCAGTGTTATAGTAGACCCCCACGTAAGCGGTGGCTGAAGTTCGGAGCAAAAAAAGGACCTCCGAGGTGTCTCCAAAGTGGCCTGGATCTGTGCCGACTTTGTCGGCACCTTCCTTGCAACTTATCATTAACTCTCCTAAGCACCGTAAAGGTCATGCCATAAGCATGACCTGCAGTGATATGAGTGTATTATCGCCCAGATGTTTGTGATACTACTTTACCACGTCTTCAATCCTCAACATTCTACCACTGCACTAACACGTGCACGTCGTCTGACTCAATAAAGCTTAAATGCTTACGTGTTCTACATAACACAATTCAAGAGGCGCTATTTCGCCTCAGGCCATACTAAGGCCCAAGGAACCAACGACACAGGATCTTACGGTAGGCTCAGACACCGCCCCTTCAAACTGCAAGGCTAGCTAGAGCGCATATAGCACGTAAGTCATGGCCGTAGGATCCCACAACGACTCCTTCCTAGCCTTAGCTGGCTTCACGTGCTCTCGTCAAACAGGGGCCAGGACTTCGAAAAAGCTCGTTTTCGACATCTTTACGATCTACAAGTTGCACAGTCAGAATCAGCGGGACGGATAAACCCAGGTAAGCATAAAATCCTTCAGAGCCTGGTTTTGTAGGGCTGCCTTTAAGGAAAAGGGCTTTGGGAAAAAATACAAAAGTCGAGTCGTTTAGCCGTCACCGGTCACCAGAATGGCCATGTGCCCTCACTTTATCCTGTTTTCCTGATGTAGGAAGTGAAAGTATCGGAGTTGGGCATTATTCTAATAAGAAACTAGTATGACGAAGCTCTGCAATTACCTACACTCGATGTCAATCACGTGCTAATTTCTCTGTAAGCGCAGTCGCTACGCTATAGCCTCCCGCCATGTTCGCACGAGCATGGTTCGCGCATTCAGATTGGCCTCATCGATTGGAGGTCCGCACGCAAAGCTTCCGCGTTGCGCATGCGTAAATCCTATGCAAAAGGGAGTACGTAATTGACACCGACTGTACCTCACATTTGGTGAGTCAATGCCTTCAAATTTTAGCTACACACTGTTCTACGCCAAGATGTTATTTCATATATCAAGATCATGTTTCAAGAAAGAAAATGCTATAGTCCCCCGTGATATGGCTCAAAGGAATGTCTGGCCAATGAATCAAATCTTAACAGATTGTAGGCCTTCCCGACCTGTACAATCTTGGTCCGAAGTGCACGAAATTTCCAAAAACCCCGTCAAAGGCCCCGCCGAAGGAACATGGAGAGTTGTGCTTTATTATTCTGGCCTCGCCATAGCGGAAGCAACTCAGTGGAGATAGACTTAGGCTGAAAGGACGCGTTAAACATGAGAATCTTGAGAAACATATGATCGGCTCCCAGATTCGTGTGGAGGTGTATTGCAGACTTTGCCTGATAGCACATGTAAACTTGCTAAACCTCCACGTCATAGCATTGCTTTTCGTAATCTCTCGCTAGCAAAAACCGCCACGCAGTGAGTTGGCAAGACTCCACCTCCAACGAATCTTGGAGCCGATGATAGGTATCTAACAATAAGATGGATAATGCACACAAGTATTATCCCCGATGGAATTATCCCCGATGAAATCTAAATTCTAGAAGATTTTAAGCACAAAAAATTTGGATTTCTGTTCAGAAAGCTTTTATTATGTTTCATTCTGCTACGCATATATTCCCCACATCAGCTATTCAAATGCAAATTTGCTGTTTTTTTAATCTCATACATAAAGCTGAATGTCTTTTGTCTGTATGTCTGTATGTTTGTTGTGTATACGTGTGTAATTCATTTCTGAACCAATTCGGACCAAACTTTGCGCACATCACCTGGGGGAGGGGCGGGTGTCGTAGTCTACTTTTCGTTACCGAGTTTATCGATTTTTATCAATTTTTGTAAAGTTTGACCTGTGGGGCTGAGAGCTGGCACACGGCGTAATCGAGCATGCTGATTACGAATGCAATTTATTTTTCAAAATGATTCTTTACTTCTATCGATTTGATCGATTTTTGCAAAGTTCAAGCTACGGGGCTGGTAGCTGGTAGTTGGCACAGGGGAGGGGGTAAGGGGCACGCTGATTACTAACACAATGGGAATAGGAAATTGGCATGTAGAAGCGGGCAGAGGGAAAGGTTGTACAGGGATAGGCATAGGACCTTTAAAGTGTTTTGACAGGGCCGGGCGGAGCCGGGTAAGCCAACTAGTAGCTATTATAGCAGAAAGAAAAATTGGCCGAAAATGCAAAAAAATCGCATTTTTAAGATTTTTTCAGCCATGAAAAAATAATAATGTAATGTAACATTCTATATGAATGTCCGATGCGAAGAGTATATAGTGAGCAATTTGGAGCTCGTATAATTTTTTTGGACGGAAATCCGATTTGTGGGCTAAGTGTTTTAAAACTCTGGCTTGAAACCAAGTGGCTCTATCTTTGCACGGATCTTCAAAGACATCGTAGTGTGTCCTTTATTCTATCGGATAATAACCTCTTCATTTTTATTCAAGTTGAAGCAAACAAGCGGACCTGAAACCATGCACTAATTTTGCATCAACTAATGACAGACAAAATCACAGACACAGATAGCTACGAAATTACGTAGTTTTTTGTTGAAGACAGTGGCTTGGCACCACTTGAAATTCTTTTTCTCAACTGGAGTTCAACTCACTGATCGCGGAAATCACCTCAATGAGCGCGAAAATGGCAAAATCCAGAAATTCCCAGGGTTGTTTGTTTGTTTTGAATTTGGATGAGTGGAACAGTTCTCACCAAAGTCGGTGACGCAGAGTCGTCCTTTGCCCTTGTGTTCGTAACTCTGCGGCACGCCACCTCCGAGTTGAGAGGAAAATCGCGAGCTCGGCTAAGCGAATGGGGTAGGGAACGAAAGCCGCCAGTTTGCGGCGTTTTTCGCGGCCAACTGTTCCTTTCGCAGCGTTATTGCATGTCGTTCCAGGACCAGCAGTCCGCGGAGGCGGCTCAAACTGGCGGCTTTCGTTCCCCTACCCAAGCGAATGCCTTTGTCCACGACCTCAAGGCAGGACCCGGCACAGATGTTCTAGGGTCAAACAGGACTTCGTTTTTGAGGTAGAAGCAATGGGGATATCGCCACTGTAAGGTCCTGAGGGGAGTCCGGAAATAATAACAGACATATTAGGTTTTACGAGCTGAACATATCAATTCAAAAGCGCGCAAGTTTCAAACTCAAAACTCAAACAAACAAATGGTTTGCTTACACCGTACAATAACATGGCACCGAACTTGGGCTATGTGTACGCAATACTTTTCACTTATGTATTCTAATACCGTCCCGAATGTGCTGGTTTTCAGACCAACGCCAAACCAACTGGGTTGGTTCGGAGCATAATTATCGGAAAGTTCATATGATTAGTTTTAAACCGTTTTGATTTGGACGACTAAAACGCTTAAAAATCTACCGTATGACAGAGCGAATCAAACCATCGCCTCTCCCCTTTTTCGAGCCAAAATCAGCATAACCTTCGATAGTCTAAAGACAGGGCATCATAGCAAAAGAAGCTCTTGAAATCGGATAAAAACGCTGCAATAAGTTTGAAATCTTTCATTTGGCTGCCATGCAGGCTTTCGCTCCAGAACCACGTAATTCACAACACGGGGGAAAACGAGGTAAGGCTAGTTTTTTTCTATGTGTTTATTCCAAAACCAATCATGTTTTGGATGTAACAAATATCAAGAGAAGAGAACAAGGAAAGAATTAGTTTTGAAAACGCAGAGTTTTATTCTTACCAAGTCAAAGTGCGCGTCAAAGTCAAAATAATTTTGATGCGTTCTTTGAATTTTTACCCCGCATTGTGGTTCGCGTTTTCTAGGACGTTGTCTATATTGTTGCGCTCATCTGAGCAATAATTGTCCAAGTTGGAAAAAATCGCTGCAAAAGCACTAAAACGGAACAATAAATAAAACCGCACTTTTTTACAATTTTTCACAAGAAACTCCTCCTCAAGAAGAGATAAGCACTGGGTAGTTGTCTGCGTTATGAACAAAAGCAAGATCTATAGAATGCACGTAAAAACCGCTTGAAAAGAATTGAAGTGGAGGATTAATAAGAGATTTTCGAAAACAAGGTTTTTGTCGGATTTCTTGTTTAAATCAAAAAAATGTGTTTTGAGACGTTGTTAGCGTAAAAGTAGAGATAAAGAGCTTCAAAATGATATATAGCTTGTTAAAATTGGTTCAAAACAATGAAGAAAAGGGTACCAGAGCCAAATGCCCCCCCCCCGCGTTTGGGGTAGCGAGGTAGCGCGCAGCGCGCGGAGACGCAGAGGAGCAGCGGAGACAGACCAGAGCTGACGGGACATTTGGCTCTGGTCGCAGATCTCCGCTGGGTCTCATCGAAACCCTGCAACATTATATATCATTCATTCTAATCGTCATGTCACGGCAAGAAATATTGACAACGTCCCAAACGTTGTAAATCACCCATAAACGAGATAGATCAAATTTCGTGCGTGAGCCTCTGCGCCAGATTTAAGCGCAGTTTCGCATTTTTATTCAACTTCAACCGCTTTCCTAAACTTCTGAAATTCAATTTCAGTCAAATAAGAGGTTAAGTGAGAAAAGTTGTCCTGAATTTTGGAGAAACGCTCATAGAAGCCTTCCATTTAGTGTAAAAAAGGCTACAAAAACGCAAATTCCGGGTTTTGCTGAATTAATTTAAGACATTTTTCCCTATCTTTGCTTCATTTGCATTCATTCCGCTATAGTCAGGATTACAACATCCGGGGTTTCACCCGGATGACTGTTTTTTAGGTGAAAGTTTGTTCTATCACGGTGCTCAAAGTGAAGGTTACCAGAGTGCATGGCTCTATGTATCGAGGATATGCTGATAGATATTGCGCTCCAATCACATGCGGCGTCCTTTCAACTGGGTGGCGAAAAAATGCATCGCCAAATTGCTGAAGCTACAGATATGGCTGACCTAGGAGGTTTTGGCACACTGAGCAATGTATCATGCTCGATAGAGCCTGTAATCAACTTAAAATATGTTTTCCGCTATTTGTTATACTGTTTTTTGTTACACTAAATACCTCAAAACTCGCTTTGTTCGCTTTTGTTATTGTTGTTGTCTGAGGGGTTTTCCTACTCATTCTGACTAGAAGGGCTCTGTAAAATTTCGCCAAATCATGGGGGAACTTCGTTTTCAAAAATGCTCCAAACCAACGCGTGCAGGGCCCCGATTCGGAGCAGATTTCTTGCGGGGATAGCATACTGTAGCTCATACTTGCTCTGTTTTTATATTTGGTGTGGGCAGCTTATCATATTAGAATCCCGAGATGTTTACTTTTGCCGAACCCTGCCTTTAAAACACTGATGACAGCGAGGGTACCTGTAGGCAAGGTATTTGTGGTCTAGACCTTCGCAGAAGAGATGGTTTTTCGAATTATTCGTGCTTTTCCATGACTACATCAGTATCATTGTAGCAAAGCCTATGATGACGCGGATCATGAAAATTTGTGCGAGAAGAAGTAAAAATCGCGTTGTTATCAATTACTGACCGAAATACTAAAATAAAAGTTTTTCCATTTCAGTGGAATATCCAGGTTGTTCCATAGAAAGTCCATTTTGACCCTTACTAGCTGGTCCCCAAGATGGCTTCGCTAGCAAGTCAATCTTTTGGCACGTTCTTGCATCAACTATTACATAAAATGCAATGAAGATGGACAAATAAGGTGGGACACTGTTTACCGCTAGTGGAGTCGCTGCACTCGGACTGTATTTTATGCAATAGTTGATGACTTCCGTTCCTGTAGGTACAATCCCTTCTTCAGCACGCTCTTCTCCACATAGCTTTCATGAATCTACCATGTTAATGGCAGATTTAGGTCAGTTTCCGGAAATGATGTTTCCTTTCAATTACATCCATGTATCTCCCGTAGAAATTTCACGAGGAGTTTTTTCGTATTACTGCTTGGCCAAAGTCAGAGACCTCAAACTCCGGAATGTGCGAGGTGATATCATTGTTGCACTAATGTCTTATGAAGAACTCTGTCACTGATTCCTTCAAGGGTACTTCATTATCGCTGACGATGCCATTTTCCACTTTTGGCATAAACTCGACCTAGAAGAGATTCTTTATCCAATTTGGGTCATAGAAAAACGGTATCCCTCTGCTTGGTGGATGACCAAATATGGTAGGTTAATATAGCTACTGGACAGGTTCCGATCGTAATTCCTTTAGGTTTCAAAGCCGCACAACGTACCAAATCTTTGTTTACAAGAAAGTATCGAGAAGACGCCCGAGTAAGGCATTTGTGGAAGTGTTACGAAGAAGGGGTGAATATTGCAACTTTTCGATGTTTCAAAACAAATAACAAAAATTTTACTTTGAGCTTCTGGCAGAAGGTCATGCGGAAGACGCTGCTTCACATGTTGGGAACGATAATGGTTGGACACTGAGTGACTTGTAGGTACATTTTCCAAGCCCAGCTGTATTTTGTAAAAGCAACAATTGCTTTTTTCAGCTTCTATGTTCCCCAGAAAAGGATTGACTATTTAGCGGAAGCGCTGGAAATTTTTTACGAAGCTGATTTATTTGTTGAGCTAACTATGCAGAAGTTGCTGCACACTGTACCACATAACAGGTTCACATTCTTTGGTCTTCCATTCTCCGTGTAGGAGCGAAAAATATTTGGTTGTTTGGAAAGTCTATCAATTCTTGTCATATGATGAATTTCAAAAGCAAACGAAAGGCCCTGACTTTGGTGTTCTTGTTGCGCGATAGTACCATATCGAACACGCCAATCAGCTCAACTATAATCTGTGGCCAACACTTCCTACGTCCAAAATATTTCGTCAAATCTATGGCAAGCGAGGAGACGGTATAATCGAGCATAGTCTAGGCATACCCTTTCTCCGAAGAATATATTGGTATGCTTCCTAAATTTTTTTCGGGCCCATAACTCCAAATTTTCAGAAAAAGGGGGCGTGGCGGCAGTCACGCCCGTTACAAATATAACCAAGTTGTTTGCACGTTTTATCACTCGTATAAGTAACTTTCAGAAATTTCGCAACCCATTCTCGAGGTGGGGGGGGGGGAGCTCAGTCGTGGCTCTTTTCGATCGTTTCAACACGTTAAAGGCAGTGTCCCAGCAGATTCGCTCTGGGCGATATAGGTGTGGCGGGCTTTCTGGTCATCCCATTGACCTCCAAGCGCAGTCCGGCTGGTTGATGTTTCCCCTGGGCTAAGAAAATGGCCCTTGAACCGGCGCGCGCATCTCCAATCGGCGCGCTCTTCGACGGCTTCCTTTTCTGTTCGGTGCAGGACCTCACGAGCTCTCCCCCATTGTGCATGCCATCCAAAGCAAAAATTACAGGCGGCAGGGTTTTCGTGTGAGGACCTCTCAACTTTCCATAAAAAATCTCGTCCGAGCTGCTTTTTTCGAACTGGGCAAACGCCCCAAAATCGGCCTTTTCAGCCCGTTCAAAGCTCAGATTCGGGTTTTACGTTGCGAAAAGGCCTAAAACATGCATATGGACGTGAACGTGGTCGTCTATGGAGTGGAAGTGCGGGGGGGACACTGCCTTTAACTCCAGCAAATTTAAGGCGTTTATTCGAAGTTAACATGTTAAAATGATCGAAAGACGATCACTCTATGCAATCGATTTTTGCAGTTTTTGAAAAAAATTTTATGTTAGATCAAAAAGGATAGAAGGAATTACTAAATCCTAATCAAATTTGGCAGAGATAATGCAAGGTTGGGGCGTATATTAATAAGTCATTGGTTCAAGACATACCGATGCTTCTACTGATTTGTGAATTTTTTCGGAGCTTTACCTTGAAAAATGTTTTATTTTCGTCCAAAAAGAATAGAAGGAGTCAAGAAATCTAAATCAAATTTTGTCGACATGATGTATAAAGCGGGGCATTTGTTAATAACCCTTTGTGGTCGGAACGCACGGGCTGCCTCTATTGATTTACTGATTTTTTGCAATATTCGTTGTATTTGCAATCTTCAATATTTGCAATCTGCGCAATATTCGTTGCTTAAAATGTTAATCAAAAACTAACAATATCGAAATTATGTCCACAGTTTTCCTTTTGTAGCAGGATATAATTCGAAGTAATTCGTGCAAAATGGCAAAATTTCACATCTCACAATCAGGGCACGGCACAGGTGGCTTAGCAAGCAAGCTGGATATCGTTTTTTAAGGGAAAAGCAAAGGGGATATCGTTTTTGCGGAAGAGCATAACGTTGTCTTTCGACCTGCGGCCGGCACGCTGCCGGCATGCCGCTAGCAAATAAACAAAAGGTTTGTCTACAGGGAAGTGAGGATGAAATGACACCAAAATAGGTGTGTAGATGGACAATGGGGAGTTAGAACTAAGTGTGAAAAATTATGGAAAAATTATGTGAACTAAAGGCGTCCTCAACTTTTTTCGGAGTTAGGTGGCTTTCAAGCCACCTGAGGTGGCTTAGGAAAGAAAAAGTCATAAATTTTTCCTCCCTCACATAATTTTTCTACTTTCTTTACATACTTTTCATCTACATCCCAAACCCTACAAACTGGTTCCTAAACCGCCTCAAACCCCCTTCTCCCCGCTTAGTTGTAGCCCCTTAAAATTTTGAATGGCCGCGGAAAGGCTGCTCTAGGCGCGTATTGCTGCACGATGGATACATCATGTCGCCATTCCGGAGAATATGAATATCATCGCGTGTGTTCGATGATTCTTTTTCTGCTATTGCTTTGTTCCGTTCTTTTTCATGTATTTTCTCTTCGAATATCTCGTGGCGGATATCGTAATTTTATTGAAGTCAAAGGGGACTTCATTTTTTTTGCAATTCCGGGACGCCACCTCGTGCCGAGCCCTGGTCTAGGGTCAAAGGCGACTGCGTAAAAATTCGCAAAAGTCAAGGGGGACTTCGTTTTTTGCATTTTCAACTAGCCACCTCGTGCCGAGTCCTGCTCACAATCAGCAGTATAAATTAAACGAAGAATTAACGAGTCAGCGAACCTGCCGCGTAGCGACAGTGACGACAGAGTTGTGGCGTTATGGAGCAAGGCTACGCCGCGTTTTCCTGAGGTATATTCCTGAAGGCCCTTTGCGTTGCCTCTTAATTGCAGGAGCAGGAGCTAACGTTACCCAGCTGATTAAGCCATTCTCTGTTTACTCCATAGATGAAGAGATCAAAATGTGGAAGATAATGATTTTGGAGATGAATCGAAAATAGAATAATGGGAAGTGTTTCTAAAGAGAGCACGAGAAATCAAAAGTGGAATAATGGATCTTCCTTCGAAAATCATTGGCAGAAAGCTTCTGTCCTTCAACCAATCCTCTCTTCCACTTCTCAACATTTCGACTTACATGCAGCATTTGATTCACCCAGATTCTTCCTTTATTCATCCCCAGAATGCATCTATTTTTTACAATTTTTGGTTTCTTTTTTGCATTTATACACTTTGAAAGATCAGAGCGTAGCAACAGGGAATGGCTTGTTCCGCTGGCAGGAGAACGCTACTCGGCGACGCAACGCAAATGGCCTTTAGGATATACCGCAGGGGAATGCGGCGCAGCTTTGCTCCATAACGCCTGCCCCCCCCCCTAACATTCCATATATAATAAGTTCGCCGATTTGGCACATTTATTGCTGGCAATTAGGTGGTGATTTGCTACCATGCAATAAACTGTTTCAGATATAGGATACCGAGTGGTTTGTTCAATGCAGCTGTGAAAAACTTGATTAATCGCTCAAACGGTGGGCGTCTGAAGTCTGATCAGACTAAATAACATTGCTGCTAAAGTTTGGAGACAGCCGAGCATGGTGAAATCATCCAGGGTGTTATCATGACTTATAAAAGCCGTGATCTGTCAGTCCGAGTTGGTCTGTGACGAAATAACACTGAGGAGTAATTTCTCATGTCTCAAAGTATGTGAGAGTTTAGTAAAGGAGGTTCATTTTTGCTTAGTACAACGGTCACTTAATTGAAAAATGATCGAAAGACCTTTGCCACTAATTAAGTCACCAAACTTTCCATAACGGCTGCCAATCTCTGCGAAACAGGAGTGACGTACATCTAATGTTACGCTTGAAATGACGTTCACTGACAAGGGAAGTTCGCAGAATCGAAATGGCCGATTGATATGTGATATTAATCCGAGATGGGAGCTTGGAAAATTAGCATCAAATGTGTACGCATTATCTGCGATGCGTTACTCAAGAGCAAGTTGAAGTCCCCTCAAACTTTTTGCGTATGCATGTGGCGAACGCATACTTGGACAAATCAGCGGAACTTCCACAGGACAAGCCAAATTTGCAGAAGTTCCGCAGGACTTTGTTCACTACTGCAAAAAATAAAAACGTTAAAAATCGGAACTTCCGCGGGATTTTGCCATACCGGTTGAAAACCGGAACTTCCGCAGAACTCTCTTCAAAATCCTGCGGAAATTCCGAAAAATGCCAGAGGTTACGCAGCACTTTGGCCTGCCAGAACTTCCGCAGCACTTTGATGTGTTGTGTCGTGATATTGCCTCGCCAGCAACTAGAGTGCATTATCGAACATGTCAGCCGTAGCGTAGAGGAGAGTAGGTGGGTCTCACAGTCAATAGAGGGAGGTTAAAATCTAGCTTCGGTGTCCTCTTTTGCTGTTGTGGTTGGCATTCTTCAAGACTTCCGCAGGACCTCTTTCGGAACTTCAGCAGTACGTTTACGGAACTTCCGCAGGTGACCCGGCGGAACTTCCGCAAGCGCTTCTCGGAAGTTCCGGTCATTTGCCTGAGTAGGTATTTTTTGAGGCAAAAAATGACACATACGGTTTAAGGATGATTTTTTTCACATATTCTACCAACGTTTCATATGCAAAAATTCCTGGAAAATTCCTTGCTTTGACCATTTAAACTTTATCAACTAATCCGTATAATATCAGATTGCTTACAAAAAAGCGAATACTGGGAGCATACGATAATATATGACGAAATGTTTGAAGCACAGAACTGTCCGTACTGTACTTGTCGATACATGTCGATTGATTTCTTTTTGATATATCATCTATTCTACGACCAAAAGACGTGAAACCGCATTGCGGACATTGTTTTAACAAGTTTGAGTTTGTTCTTCCCTGTTTACATAGAGTGATTAAACCTGGACGAGATAACTGACAAGTGTGAACCTGCTAAGTACACAATTAGGCTTGTTTAGACAATGTGTGCAATGCGGTGGCGCGTCTCCTGGTCACAGAACGAATGATACTTATCCATTACTTTTTGTTCATTCCCAATCGGTTTACGCAATATTGTCGCAGGAGCCAAAACTCATATTACAGATATGCTAAAATCAATTTTGAACAAACATAGCAACGACTTTGAGAGATAGGTTGTCGAATGATTTTGAAGGTTGGCCAGATATAGTACTCACTTCTTTATTATCTTCGGTTGCACGTAGTATTTACGTGACCATCCCCTAGTGTATCACGACATACCACTGGTTCTTGCTACGGGGCTACTTGTGAGAATGACGTGGCAGGTTTTATGATTAGTAGAGCTGAATCAGCCGTATGTGTCATTCTTTGCCTCAAAAATACATAGAACAGATAAAAAATAAACCACTACATCACACGCCCACGTTTGCAGCAGCTATGCGTTCGCTATGCATGCGTACGCAAAAAGTTTCAGGGGACTACAACTTGATCCAGAATGGCGCATCGCAGTCATTGGGAGTATATTAGATACTAGCCTCCCCAGTCCTCAGCCCGGGCAATACCACATGTCAATCGGCCACTTCAATTCTGCGAACTTTCCTGTGGGAGACATTGGTGATAGATTCGCCCCGGTAATATCCATTCGAATTAGTAAAAATTTTTCGCAAAAAGTAATGTGGTTTGAAGATTGGTGGTTCGACGAATACTCAGGGGGGGGGGGGGAGGGGAGAGAGAAGAGGCTACAGAATCTCACGAATGCAGGAACGCGGCGTTACTTACCCAGCACACAATGAAACGCGTGGGGAGTCCACTGTCAGGACTCACCGCCTAACCGACTCTTTCCAGGATGTCGCCCAGTACATTCGCGTACGTCCCATTGTTCGAACGTGCCCACTGGCAAAAATACTATCGATCGGATCTTGTGATGATACACCCGTTGAAATTGAATTACTTTGCTGATCTCGACAATAGAACAAGGTGAGCAATTTGATTGACAACATTTCAATTCATTCAAACAAGTCATTCAGATTCTGTGAAACCGTGGTTCAGTCCTACGGGAGTGCCTTATTTGGGCTGTAGATAATGAAGTTCAGTAGCTAGACGTTGTGATACTTACGATCTCATTCAAATCGTCCCTAGCCATGTCATCACGATAGCTAAGTTGACAACGAGCAGCCAATCTGCAACTATGTTTTTGTTGTTGCCTTTCCCATTGTAAAACCTTGGCACAATCATACTTTGTCGCTGGACCGCTCCAGTAAATTAATTGGCATTGTATTAATTTGTTGTGTTGTGTTTTTCCAGTATATACGTTGGGTTAATGCATTTAGGTAACAAACTTTAACTCGCTCAAAGTTGTCTAGAAAGTGTGGTGCTGAAGGCAGTGGATCGGCAAATTTAATTATATCGAAATTTTTATACCGTGGATTGCCTACCTCTCAAGCATGGAAACAATCGATGTACTAAAGCACAGCATCCTCTCGCTGTCAAGATAATTGCCCATGAACCCTTGCGCGCAAGCATTCTTCGCGCTGGGACGAGCTCGCGATTTCCCTCCCACCGTCGAAAAAAGCGTGCCGCAGTGCTTTAATCGTGGGGGTTCCACGATTAAAGCACTGCGCCATGCTGCTTCCGACAGTTCTCACCATGGTAGGAGACTCTGCACCTCCTACTAAGGCGAAAATTGTTTCACTCGTCCGAATTTAAAATGGAGTGCCTCGGGAAATCGGTTTTCATCTTTTTTCTCCTCCAAGATAAATCTTCGTAATCAGCGCATCAGTTTGGATAGCCATTGCCTTTGGAAGCAGTGGCTTGACAAATCCTGACCTAAACTTTTTTGCTTACCTGGAGTAATCTGACGTGTTGATTCTGAAAATCCACGATAGAGAGCGCAAAAGTGGCAAAACCACCATTTCTTAAGACCCATCGTTTTAATTCTAAACAAATGCAACAGTTACCGCCATGGCTGGAAAAGCAGAGCCGCTGCGGGACCCTCACGGTCATAACAAGGAGGCATGCTGCCTCCGATTGTGGAGGGAAAATTGCGAGCGTTCGAGCGCGTGTAAGAATGGCTTGCGCGCGCGGGTTTGCAGTTCTCTTGGCAGAGGCAGCATGCAGTGCGTTCAGACTTGCTCTGGCTTCATATTTGGGGTGTATGCAACCTACCCACATCAAAAATCTGGAATGTTCGGCTTTGTCAAGCCATTGCCTTTGAGCAGAGGTGCGATAGGGGGAGCCGGGTCCCCCAAAAGTGAAGGTGGTTTCAGCTACCACTGGCCGGCCAAAAGTGAAGGTGGTAATGTCGGACACTCACCTCCCAAAAACGTCGACGGGGGGGGGGAGGTGCGGGGGGAGGATAGAACGGACGAACGGAGCTATCTTTCTAGGTCTAACGTCGACCCAACGGCCCTCTTTAGGGCCACAGATACGATGAATATTAAAAATATCTATAAATTTTATTTATAAAAATTTAAAATAGACGTGTTTAGTAAATGGTGTATTTGGAAGTAGAAGTTTGTTGGACTGTACGGATTTTATTAAGCAAATTTTGTTATAACGTACAGCGAAGAAAGTAGATCGATCCAGGCAGTAACGGCCGAGAATCAGAATTTCGAATAAATAAATAGTGAAAAATCATGCAAAATTTCCACTGTTATAAATCCGTTGTTTGAAGATGTCAGCAGTTGCGACTTCATAGGTTTTAAAGAGTAAATGTTGCTCTATCAGCTAGTGAAAAAATCTGGTCGATTTAAGAGATAGTCGTTGAAAACCAGAGTTCTAAAACTTTACGCCATTTTTGCGTGTTTTTTGACTGTTGAGAGTTAAACTCTTATAAATCTTGAATGTGGAAGTGTATGATGTTGCGACTTCATAGGTTTTATAGAGTAAGGTTTGCCTTATCAGAATATGTCTTGTCCGTTCCGATCCATTGAAACACCTTCGAGATCCAGAGTCATGAAAAAGCAGGTAAAAAAGAGCTTTTTGAACTTCAACAGCTCATAACTTCTTGAGAACTGCATGAATCATGTTGCGACTTCATAGGTTAGATTCTTCTCGTCAAGAGCTTTCAGATGATATATAATATGTGGGGGTTTAGAGCCTCCTGCGAATTATGACCGGGGGGGGAGACTTTTTAGGCCAAAGTCTCCCCCTCGCCCATTTTAATGTATTGGCTGGAGGCTGCCGGGGGAGACTTTGGCCTAAAAAGTCTCCCCCCCCCCGGGCATATGCCGTAAGAGGCGCGAAACCCCCACATATTATATATCATCTGAAAGCTCTTGACGAGAAGAATCTAACCTATGAAGTCGCAACATGATTCATGCAGTTCTGAAGAAGTTATTCAAAAAGCTCTTTTTTACCTGCTTTTTCATGACTCTGGATCTCGGAGGTGTTTCAATGGATCGGAACGGACAAGACATATTCTGATAAGGCGAACCTTACTCTATAAAACCTATGAAGTCGCAACATCATACACTTCCACATTCAAGATTTATAAGAGTTTAACTCTCAACAGTCAAAAAACACGCAAAAATGGCGTAAAGTTTTAGAACTCTGGTTTTCAACGACTATCTCTTAAATCGACCCGATTCCTTCACTAGCTGATAGAGCAACATTTACTCTTTAAAACCTATGAAGTCGCAACTGCTGACATCTTCAAAATACAGATTTATAACAGTGGAAATTTCGCATGATTTTTCACCATTTAAATATTCAAAATTCTGGTTCTCCGCCGTTACTGCCTGGATCGACCTACTTCCTTCGCTATACGTTATAACATAATTTGCTTAATAAAATCCGTACAGTTTTGCTAAGCTTTACTTCCAAATACACCATTTACTAAAAACCTTTATTTTAAATATATATGCCGCCGTATACATAAATATATGCTTTCAATAATCTTTTTTGCGTTTGTTTTGCTTATTTTCCTTCTTTGTCGTCCAGCGAAAAGTTTTTTATTCCAAAAGTGAAGGTGGTCACCCCGTACCAGCTCAAAAGTGAACGTAGGGGGAGACTTGGCTCCCCCTATCGCACCTCTGCCTTTGAGCATACTAGTCTTAATGATGACATTAATGTGGGCGACTCGTCAACGTTATCCTCTGTGTCACTGAGAATGACGGATTTTGAGTGGGGCTCGCTTCTCACGCGACCGCCCCGTTTGGGCCCTGCAATTCATTCGCGAGCATACTCTCTAATCATTTTCCCATCTTTTTATGACTCAAAAAGTCGCTGCCCTCGATATAGCCAGCGGTCATGGAACAGGGCTTATACAGTCACTAGCTGGCTTACCCGGCTCCGCCCGGCCCTGTCAATGCTATGATTAAGGTCTTATCCCTACCCCTGTAAAACCTTTCATTGTGCCCACTTCTACATGCAATTCCCTATTCCCGCTGTGTTAGTAATTAGCATGCCCACCTACCTCCCTCAACAACCCCAGCCCCGTAGCTCAAACCTTGCAAAGAAGCAATAAAACTGGTAAAAGTAAGGATAATTCTGAAAACTGATGGCGCTATTCGGCTATCCAACCCCAAAATGCTTTTATGATGGATCTTGCTCAAAGTTGGTACATGGGGATTATTGAAGCCGCTGATGACGAATGTCGTAGTCATTTCGCGCGATAGCGCCATTTTCTGGGTTTAGGTTGGGTACACATAAGAAGCTAAAATCATGGATTTCGCTGAAACTTTGAAAGGAGCTAATTGACATGCTGATTACGAATATCATACTCTTTCGGCATTTTGAGGCGATTTCACTGAGTTATGGTAGGTATACTGCAGAGGGGCGAAATCTCAGTTTTGGATGAAACTCGGTCTAGAGAGATTCGACCTTCTGACCACGTCTAAAACACACTCGTTGCGTTTTGGGACTTTTTCGCAGAGTTACGGTAGGTACCTGGCAGCGGGTAAAAATCATGAACCTGCCTGAAACCTTGGCAGAAAATTACCTAAAGTACTGTTTCAAGAATATCGTGCTTAATCCCCGCGATAAAGGCAATTCGTGTGGTATAAAAGTTTCCCACAACCGTAATGGTTTCCCTTATAGGACCACTGCCGCGCGCGAGACACCCTTCGGCGGCTTTTGCCTAAGCAAAAACAGAGGAGGGAGATTTGCCGCGTGCGTTACGCGTTGGGACAGGTTATCAATTTCCTCATAGGACCACTGCCGCGCGCGAGACACCCTTCGGCGGCTTTTGCCTAAGCAAAAACAGAGGAGGGAGATTTGCCGCGTGCGTTACGCGTTGGGACAGGTTATCAATTTCCTTATGGGACCACTGCCGCGCGCGTACACCCTTCGGCGGCTTTTGCCTAAGCAAAAACAGGGGGAGGGAGATTTGCCGCGTGCGTTACGCGTTGGGACAGGTTATCAGGAGGGCGCTGCAGACCGCCGTGCAAAACGACCGTTTCCCCACTCTTGAAAATCTGGGATCTAGATTGACCCGAAAGCGAAAAAATGTCCATTTAAACCCTGCAACTCACCTAACTTCACTATTGCAGTATTGCGTTATGACAGCGAGCAAGCATCATATTCATAAGCGACATACTTGTGAACCGCTACAGGTAAGGTTTTGAGCAAATCTGGAACTTCGACCCATCTACACCCCAAGAAAATGCACTATCCTGCGAAATCAGCATGATATTCATGTTCAGCGCGCTAAATGACCACCCTAGACGAAGTTCAAAGCAAATCTATGTTTTCGACCCCATGCCATATAACCACCACAACTCTATGAAAGGTCCCAATATGCAGAGAGAGATGATATTTGTAATTAGCATGTCGAATAAGCCATATGGACCGAACTCCAGCCGAATTTATGTTTTGACTTCCTACCGTACACCTATCGTAACCACACGGGAAGACGTTCTGCGGAAAAAGTGTGTTATCTGTAATCAGCGTGTAAAGGGCCGGGCATACTTCACGCGATTTCAGTCGCGACGCGATTTGGCAATTCGCCAGAAGCCTTCGGATCCAACATTAGCAAACTGCACATGCATAGTGTGTAGAACTTACGTAAACTGATGAAATGCCCTATCTTCTGTACATTTATAATGTGCTTACAATGAGTTATGGACACCTGGAATATTGCCAAATCGCGTCGCGATTGAAATCGCTTGAAGTATGCCCGGCCCTTAAGATAACCCTTAACGAAGTTTGAGCAAGCTCTACCACGAAAAAAATTTTGGGGCCTGGATAGCGGAATAGCGCCAAACTAATATCGAACTCGTAATCAGCATGCTCGATTACCCTGTGCCAAA